GAGGGCTGGCCAGATAGCTCAGCAGACTAAAGGGCCTGCTTAGGCAGAGCACAGTGGCTGGGGTTCAATCCCCAGTGTGCCATGCTGGCCCCACCCCCGAAGCACGCTAAGACAGTGATCGACACTGCGCGTGGTGACATGTGCCTATAATCCCAGTGTTTGGAAGGCTGAAAACAGGAGATTCACTACGAGTCTGATCTGTGTAGTGACACTCTGTAGACCCTGTACTAAATACATTTTTTTTAAATTGCATTTTTGTTCATTTTTATTAAATAATATAACAGGAAATATAAAAATGACAATTTCATCCAATTTATTCAGTACATTTTCTGTGTATTTTCTCTGTGTGTGGTATATCTTAAAACTTTCAAAGTTGGGTATGATGGCACACACTTGTAATCCCAGCACTCGGGAGGCTGAGGCAGGAGGATCATGGCAAGTTCAAGACCAGCCTGGTAGGGGCCAGGGAGATGGCTCGGTGGAATAAGTGCTTCCTTGGCAAGCGCAGGGGCCTGAGTTCAATCCTCGGTTCCGGAAAAAAAAAAAAAAAAAAAAAAAAAGACCAGCCTGGCCAGTCTGAAATGCATAGTGAAACCTTGTCTGAAAAGGAGCACCCCCTCCAAAATAAAATACCTAATATGAGCAGTATTAGCCAGAGCAGGGAATAGGAGGAAGAGAAACAAAAAGTGTAAGAACTGGAAATGAAAAAGGAAAAAAACCCTAAAACTTCATTTTGTAGAGCATTGCCTCTCCAAAGAATTACAGATATATTGTTAGAAAAAAAAAAAATTGAGACAGGATCTCACTGTGTAGTTCAGCCTGGCTTTGAACTCATTGTATATCCCAGGCTGGTCTTAAACTAATCGCAGTCCTACTGCCTCAGCCTCTTGAGTGCAAGATTAGTCATGTACCATCACATCCAGCTGATACATTGTTAGAATTATTGAAATTAGCAGGGTAGTCAAATATAAGCTAAATATATAAAAGACAAGCCAGACGTGGTGGAGCATGCCCATAATCCCAGCACTCAGGAGGCTGAGGCAGGAGTATCATTGTGAGTTCAAGACCAGCCTGGGCTACAAAGTGAGCTCAAGTCCAGCTTAAGCTGCATAGCAAGACCCTGACTCAGACAAAAAAAAAAAAAAAAAAAAAAAAGTCAATTCAATTACATTTATATACAAGAGAAACCAGAAATACAAGAAGCTAAAAGTGCAATAAAAGTTGTATAAGTTATGTGTACAGAAAATTATGAAACATCATTGAAAGATGTTAAGACAGACCATATAAATAGAAATAGCAGCCTTTCCTCAGCCGCCGCCAAGGTGCTCGGTTCTTCCGAGGAAGCTAAGGCCGCGTTGGGGTGAGGCCCTCACTTCTTCCGGCGACTAGCACCACGCCCGGCAGCCCGCATCATGGCCTCCGTGTCCGAGCTCGCCTGCATCTACTCCGCGCTTATCCTGCACGACGACGAGGTGACCGTGACGGAGGATAAGATCAATGCCCTCATTAAAGCGGCTGGTGTCAATGTCGAACCTTTTTGGCCTGGCTTGTTTGCAAAGGCCCTGGCCAATGTCAACATCGGGAGCCTCATCTGCAATGTAGGGGCTGGAGGTCCTCCCCCTGCTGCGGGCGCTGC